GCTGGTCTGCTGTTGCTTTTCTTAGCTGAACTCCTCAAGCGCGTCACTCGATAGCCCTTTCACCTCTTTTTTTTCCCCCCCAATGCTTTCGATATTGTGTATTTTTAGCAGCTGTTTTGTATGCTACGTGGTCTTTGAGAGTTGGTTTTGAGCACATGCTAGCAGCATGAAGCACTGCCCACAGACATCAAGTGTTCAAGTTAATGGCTGTGACAGGATTTTTGACTGAAACAATTTTAAGCAAACTGTCCTACAGGTGAACCTTATAGGTAAGAAACTCAGTGCAAGTGCCTGAGGCTTACTCTAAGTTTATGTGCACTGTGTAACTTAAGAGATTTTTATCTAGACAATGTAGCTTTTCATTCCCAAGCAGAAACTTCAGCTTCTGGGAAAGGGGGAGATTGGCACTACCAACCCCAATAAAAAGGTTACTCGCACTTTTATTGCGGACCTTTTGGCTGCCAGTCTGGGTGACTGTTTCTGTAGCATCTGCTGGGGAAGTTCCTTGCGGACAGTACTGGCTTAATAGCTGCCTTAGTAAGGTCTGAACAAGCTTACCTTTTAAGTGCTTAGTGAAAGCTGGCTGATTATTCTCCTCTTGTCACGGTAAATGGACTGTTAAGGAATTAAGACATCCTTGAGAAAGGTACAGACTTGGTGTTGGCATACTGATGTATAAAACCTGGGGTGTAGGGACACCTCTCGGCCTCTTAATTGCTGAATTAGCAGTTATCAAGAATATCGAGGAACAGTTTGCTAGCTCCTCAGATGGGTTTATACTAAAATGTGACTGATCCATTGCAAAGCATTACAGACTTGCACTGTGCTACTCACTTTTGACTTGTCATAATTAAAGTTTTGTTTCTGGCTGGGAAAGGTGTGCTGCTACCCTCGCACTGGAGTTTGAAAATCCCCCCCACAAATATGTGCCAGTAGGACCTGCTGGTTTTGAATGGTCTTGGGAGGGAAGATGACAGAAGGAAGGGCTGTGAACACGACAGAAGCCAATTAATAAGCATGTGGAAAAGTGTTGGTGTTTGCTTACTAATGAGTTGCGCAGGGAACCTCCCCAGGCTGCTCCTCTGCTTGCAGGAACTGGCAGGGAGGAGACGCCGGCAGCGCACACAGATTAGGGCAAGCTGGCAAGCGCTGACTGCGGGGAGAGCAGCAGGAGCATCGCCTGCGCTCTGCTGCTGCGGGGTCTGAAGCAAGTTCAGGTGGCTCTAAGCTGTGGAGGAGCAAGAGGAGGCAGTGGTGGTACGATGAAAAGGAGCCATCTGGTAAACATGAGTGGCTGCCAAGTCAGATGACTTAAGTAGGAGCACGAGAGCAGTCTTGAGGATAGCAGGACACCAGGCTGGCTAAGGAAAGAGATGAGTCAGGCAGAGGAGAACAAGAGCAACTGGTTGAGGAAAAGCAGGATGTGGTTGTGAAACAGGGAGCTGGTAGAAGTACTGTTGGGTGACGGGTTCTTATTTGCTCTGGGACGTGGTAATCTTTGTCCCCTCTTCATGATCTAAACTAAAGAAAACAAGGTAGGAATTTCTCATTTGCAAGTTTCACCTTGCTTGAGAATCCAGGCAAAACTGAATGTTGTTATGGTTTCAAGAAGGGACTTCTTATCCTGGGCACCAAGGAGAGTGATAGTTCCCTGCTCAGTAAAGAGCTGATAGCAGGAGATGGTGTTTCTCTTTGATAGAGAGCATGGAAAGAGAACTCTGTCTCATTGCCAGCTGTATAAAGGAATCTCCAGGGAAGAGCTAGGAATAGTATGTATCTTACTAGTGGAAAGTCCCTTGGGGAAGATAGAGCTAGAGAAGTCTCAAGTTGTAGGTACCTTACCTAGGATCAGCTGTGGGATACAGCAGACAAAGGATTTTCAACCTTTAACTGGTGGATAGGAAAGGGACACATGAAAAATACAAGCAAACTGACTTCTGTGTGTGTATATATATATATACCCCAAGATAACTGTTCAAACATCTGCATTTGTTAGAAGTCCAAAAGGTTTGCAGATTGAAGGGCATTGACATTGAAACTTCATCATAAAAATAACCACTATTAAATGGTTCTTTATTCTGCAGAGTGGTAGCATTGATTTCCAGAAGCAACTGGCTCTTCCAGAAAAGACCAATATTTAAACTTGTTCTGAGATGGATTTGTGTTTGTAGGAAGTGTTTAGGTAACGCTTACACACTTAGAATCAACTCACTGTTTAGAGCATTATCTCTTAAGTCTTTGCCATGATGAGGAGGCCAGACTGTGGAGTTAAATGCAGCTGCATCACAAATCATAATTATACTCTTAAAATGTAGTCAGTTGTAAATTTGGGGGCTAAAGGCTCAATAGCAACATATGGCCTTATTGAAGCTGAGAGGTTTGACTTAGTCCTGGAAGATTTTAAAGCTTTGTTCCAGCCTTGTGCTCTTCTGACAGATGCATCGTCCTAGGTTGGCTTTTATCCATCTCTTTAGACAGAAAGCCCAAAGCAGTGGTCTGTAGCACTTTAAGCTAAAGCTTCAAGAAGGGGTGACCCAAAGACTGCAGCACATGTCCAGCTACAGAGGTCAAGCTGATGTGATTTCAGGGCTGGATCTAGCAAAAGTATGACATTACGTTTAAGCAGCGATTTGTACTGCATAGTGTTTGAAGCACTTGGGAGAGAAAGACTATAGGAAACTTCAAGGAAGGAAAATTTCAGGAGGATTAAAGCAGCTGCAGATCATTGATTTGGTACAACCATGTTGTATTTAATGCAATTTGAACTAAAAAGTTGGATGGTGGGGTTTAATTACTTTTCTGTTCAAATATTTGTTGTTAAATCTTTTCTCTCCATTCTTCCCCTTGGAAAAAAGTAATCTAATGCTTCTGTAGTACTTCTACTCCAGAAGCATCTAAGTGGTTCACAAAGGCTAGCAGACAGCATGTTTTTTTATGAAATTAGTAATCCTTATTTCCAGTTTATAGATGGGGTGAACTGGCTTGGGACTAGACTTGCCCTTAAAGATACGAATGAGTGACCTGTGTAAAACAGGACTAACACTGGGAATTTTATTCCTTTGACTTGACTTTATCCATATTAAAATGTAAAATAACTTCTTCCTTATTCTTTGGTTGCCTAACTGCAGCTTAGATTTACTAATTGAACCACAACTGCCCTCTCTGCTGAAGAACACTCTCTTGCAGGAGCACCAGCACAACATACTTTCCACAAATACTCTTAATCTGTTTGCCCTGGTGGAGACTGTGGCCTGCATTCTCTCTCACTAACATTAAAATAGATCTTGCTGCTAACAACGCAGTAGATGGCAAGTGTGCTTCCTGCTCTGACAGCAGAGCCGGTTGGTACCTATGAACTTAGAGAGCTGTAAGACAAGCCTGATCTCAGTGTATTTTTGGAAGAGAACCATGTGTGGTTTTCTTTTGGCTTTTCTGTGCAATCCCTCATTCTCCCTTCCTTCCTTCACCAGGAAATCCCTTCTCGTGCCAACAGGAGCCAGTGGAATGTGCTGTTTGTTTACCTTCTCACTCCTTCATCCTACTAACCTTCCCACCTCCCAGTTGTAATCCTAACAGGCTCAGCTCAGCCCTTCATCCTTCTGACAGAGCACTACTCAGCTGAGTATTTTCAGATGAAAGGATTGCTGCAAGAGGCTGTTCTGACCAGGCTCTGCTTGGTGGGCGTGAGGCCCTGGTATTCTGCAAGGCTGGAGCTGTCCTCTCGCCTTTCTGTGCCCTGGCTGGCAGCTGCTTCATTCTGTGTTGCTGCACATCATTGTGGATGTGCTACAGGATAGCAGGGAAAAGCTTGGGAAGCATGCTCTTCCCTTTTCCAGCATTCCCCTGTGTGTTTTTGCCTTTTTGGCGTAATAAGCTAGGAGTACCCTCTTCTCGTGGTTTCCCTAGTGAAGGAAAAACTGAAGGAAAACGTCCAGTTAATCCCTCCCAACAGTACTGATACCTTCTAGCCTGACCTGCTATTGCTATCCCAGACCGCTAAACTCCATTTTTCTGCCCCCTTTCAAAATTCTGTCTCTGTAAAAACACCTGTAAGGCATTTATTTTTTTCAAAGCCATCTGAAATTCTTGGATGAAGATGTTTGTACTGCTTAGAAAGAAAAAAAAAAAAAGACCCACATCCTTACTATAGTTGATGTGTTTGCTAAAGATATAAGCATGTTTTCTGGACTTGTAGTGTGCTACCATCCCTGGTTAGAGAAGCCCTTAAAGCTCACTGTTTCCACAGGGTTTTATAATAATCCAAGTGAGGAAATCCTGTGTTTACTGCACTTATGAAAATTGCCATTTTGAGACTGTCCCCTGTTTGATCTATTCACATACTTTGTCTTATCTGACTTTAGCTGATTGGCAAGGATTATAAATCCCTTAAGCAGGGACTGTCCTCCCCTTTGTTTTGCAGCCTGGACACTGTTGGGGCTACGTGTATAGCTTGAATTTTATGCTGGCCTGCTGGAAGATTTTATAATGGGTCTGCACCTGGGGAGGGTGCAGCTTGTGTGCTTAACACGTCCTGGACACTTCTTGCACCAACACTTCTTTAATGCTTCTTTGTAGTGCCCAAGAAACGCAAGTGAGAGGTGAACTCTTGATACCATCACTCAAATAGTTGGACATTTTTGGATGAATACATGTGTAGGAAAGACTGCAGCAGCTTGTTTTCCTTTCTGTTATTTCCCCCTCTCTCTTTCTGTTCCTGCACTAGGCTAAAGAAGAGGGTCTCAAAACCATTAGCCTGGTAAAAGCCTGAGAAAGAGCACACAAGGGTAAGCTTTTACACCAGCAACAGATAATCGTGTCCCCAGCTGAGTGGTTCAGAAAGCAGGAAAATTTCCACTAGCTCTGAGACACACCAGAACTTAGTATTAGGTGTTCAAGCATCAGCATACGATTCTCAGGGGTAAATGAAGCTGTATAAGAACATCTTTTCACTGTGTTTTTCTGACAGTCTGACATTATACGCCTCCCTACAGACCAGCCTGCCTGCTGGAGGAGTTCCTGGAGACTGTTCCGGAGCACATCCAATTGCTACCGCCACGAGGCCCCAGCCAGCCAGCCACAATGTACTGCCTTCAGTGGTTGCTACCTGTCCTGCTCATACCCAAACCCCTCAACCCAGCGCTGTGGTTCAGTCACTCAATGTTCATGGGCTTCTACCTGCTCAGTTTCCTCCTGGAACGGAAACCTTGCACGATTTGTGCCTTGGTCTTCCTGGCAGCTCTATTCCTCATCTGCTACAGCTGCTGGGGGAACTGCTTCTTGTATCACTGCACAGGATCCCAGTTGCCGGAATCAGCTCACGATCCCAGCATAGTGGGCACCTAAAAAACAATAATCTTCCAGTCTGCTGAGGGCTCTTGTTTTGCTTTTAAAAAAGGGGGTGGGCTAGGGAGGAGGGAGGGGGTGTTAGGCATGTGGCTGGAGTAAAAACAGCCTGTTTCCTGTAACTGTGTGTGGACTAGAATGGTGAATTCCTCCCACTCTGCCTGTGAAATTTGACTTGTTTACTGTGTGAACTCTGGCAGCACCACCTGCTTTTTTAGAAGCAGAAATTCTTTTTTTTTCCTCCTTCCCATATCACCGGGATCAGACACCAGCCCTCCTAACTGAGAACTGGCAGAGGACCAAGCTGCTGGCCTCTGCCCAGCTATTGTGCGGTGGTGGAGTCGTGTGTCACTCACTCATCTGCATTAGGCCACAGTGGTCTAACTCGGGGCTCTTGGCCCACTGACTCTGCTCGAGTAGCTACAAGATTCTCTCCATCTTTCCCTTTGTGGGGAGCCAGCTTTCCCGCCGTGCTGATCAAGGGCAAGCTCAACAGCTCACAGATGCACTTGGCCAAAAGCTGCTGGAGCCAGAGGCAGTTGAGTCATCCCTCCTGCTCAGCCTGCCAAAGAGATGCGTGCACTGCTGAAGTGCTTTCTGAACTACTTATGCCCCGAGATCATAGCCTGAAAGCCTCGGTTATACTGCTGCTTTTATAAAGCCTCACAGGTAGTGGAGACTGCCTCTTCCACTCCTCCTAGATTTCCAGGATTTACTGAGGTATTGACCGTTGGGATAAAGAACCGGTATGCTGCAAGATGTGGGGTTTTGAAAGCCACTGTGAACCTTACCCTATAAAACTCATGCTAGCCCAAAAGGCCAGGTGTGGGCAGGGCAGGAGAAGAGCCCAAGGTGGAGGCACGGCTTGAAGCAGTGAATACTTCAGGCATTTTCAGTGATAGTGTTTTCAGGCCAGGGGTGACAGAAGGTGCTGGTGCTACTGACTGGAGAAGGGAAGAGGCTAGAGGAGCTCCTGGTGTCTCCCATCTCCCCTGGCAGAAGGGTGTCAAGAAGCCTAGGTGGTGGCGGGTCAGTCCTACAGCCACAGCTGTGCAGAGCTCCGTGCTGCGTACGTTACTCTGTGCAGCCAAGGCTCTTGGGAGGTTTGGGGCAGAGGTTTGTTTATGAGAAACCTTAGCAGTTAACACAAAATACTGTCTCTAAACTTCAAAGGGTTCCCTCCCCTTTGCCACCTGTTTGTCTGTCTTTATTTCAGTCTGATAGTGGAGAGCAGCAGAAGTGGCTGTTGCTGTCCCAAGGAAGTTCAAGCTATGAGGTTGTGAAACTTCCAGAGTATTGTTTGTTCATTGCACAGCTGTTCAAAATGTTTAATAAAGCTTTATAAACTTTGGTCTATGGCCTCCTGCCCAGCATGATGCATTGGCTGTTCATTGTGGATGCCTTAGCCCAGCAATCATGTGTCTCTATATTGTTCTGTTCCCAGCACAGTAACCCCAGAGCGTCTCCAGCAAGAGGCAGAGCCCGTTTGCCCTGTAGCTCCCAGTGCTGACTCTTCTGTTTAAGTGTTGAACCTGACCACAGGCAGACTGAGAACCATATACTGGCGATTCATAAACAGACCCATTTTACACACACACACACAGAGAAGAGGTCGCTTCTGGTTGTACCTCTGAACTTACGTGACAGATTTCCCTTCCCTTACTGCTTACGAAATTAAACCACAGAGCCATGTCCTGAAAGCCGCTAATCCCCAACGCTGGCACTAAAAGTGTTATCTGCCAGGCGCCTACGCAGCGTAAGCCTGTCACACGGTCCCACATCTTCCCAACCTGTCCCCCTGCTCTGGGCAGAGACTGGGCTGCAGACCAATGGCCGGGAGTCAGCCAGGGGGGAATTTGGTCGTGTCGGCCCTGCCCCAGCTTTGGCCGTGACCCCATGTCGTACCAGGGGGAGAAGGGGAACGCACGCTGCAGCCAGACACAGGACTATTGGATCTGATGGCACCCAGGAGCACCTCAGGGAGTTACACAGTGTAGGAGCTGTGCTGCTGGAGCTGAAACTGGCTTCCTCTACCCTTGCTCTGAAGCCCCGAAGACCAAGTCCAAGTTGGAAAGAGTTCAGGGCTAATCAGTGTTTACATGTTTTAAAGTGTGTGCCACATCACCAAGAATAGATATGATGGCTCTGTCACCTGTCAGGCTGAGGGAAATCCCAGTAGCTGTCATAGCAGCTACAGCATGAATAACAAATAGAAAGGAGAGAGGAAGGCCTCTCACTTGCAAGCTATGGCAAGGCTTGTCTGCACTCTGAGCAACTTTTAAGTTTAAATTTATTTAAGCTAATGCAGTCAGTTCCTTTAAGAGTACACTTTTGTTTCTAACTAGCCAAGTTGCGCTCTACAGCAATTTAAATAAATCCTAGCCACGAAGCCAGACAGTTCTTTGGACGAGAGCAAGTCCTGGCTTTGTACATGGGGTTCAAGATGAGACGCAGCTGCAGGCTCTCCCTTCTACGACACCCAGCTCTGACAAAAAAAAGCACTTCAAAAGGAGGCTGCCAGTGTAGTGACAGGAGAGATCTCGGCAGACTGATGGGTAAGAAGCCTACTTTTTGCAGCCCTCCCACCCCCAATGTAGATAAAGAGCTGTCTTTGATATGCACGTAGCCCTCACCAGCACCCTGTCTTACCCTCTTTAGGGCACTGAGATACCATCTTCATTTTAAAGATGGAAAATTAAAGCAACTTCATCATGGTCGGACAGAAAGCCTCAGGCAGAGTGAGGAACCCAACCAGGTCTCACATCCCATGCTAATGCCCTGCTCGACCTTCTCTATAAAGAGAACCATGAAAAACCAGCCTGCAACTGCAGAACAGGTTGAACCCGATGGCTTTTGAAAACCATCATCACAGCTTCCCTGAGCCCGTACAGACGCAGCTCCTGTGCTCTCGGGCAGGTCTTTGCTGCTAGAAGAGCAGTGGGGTGGCTCTGTCCCCTGGTACCCTGGAGGCACCAAGAGGTGTCTGCATGGGGACTGCACCGGTGGGCAGGCACACTGGGAGGTAGCTACACTAGTGACTCTGAAAACAGTGGGGTTTAAACCACAACCGCTATGTTGTGCCAGGTCCCGATGAGCCTGGACACTGCCCGCAAGGGCTTTGGCGCAGAGCGAGTCTCATCACCTTGCTTTGGAATAAAGTGTCCATCTGCCTGGTGCTCCCTAGATACAGGGAGCAGGAGCCTTAAGCTGTTCCTTTGTCTTTGCATTTGAAGAAGAGATCATTTTCTTTTCTAGGTCACATAACAGATCAGTGACACAGCAGGGTCAGGAAAGGGGAAAAAAAACCAAACAAACCCAGGCTCAGATCCCTAGAAACAGAGCTGCCGCGTAGCTCAGGCAGACCTCGGGCTCCTCACCACTCATCAGGGAGAGGCAGCATCCCCAAGATGAGCAACTGGGACACCACGAGGCTTCCCATGGAGAAGGTTTGGCCAGACTGGTATGACTTTTTGAACCCTAGATCTGCCAGAGTCATGTTGGTGCATCTCAGGGGCTGATGTTTGGCAGTCAAGCTCCCTGGCACAGCTCAAGGTACAGGTAGGGAACCAGCTGTCTGGGGCCACCATGGCCATCAGCCTGCTCTCCCAGCATCTGCCCATCCATCCCTGGATCTTGCCAGGTGATCAGTGCTTCCTGCCTGGATGCTCTCCCTGCTTACCCCGAGACAAGCCCACAACATGGTGTTATTAACTTAGCAGCAGACGGAGGAGAGCAGTTGATCCCAACGAGGAGCCGTTTGGGCTGGAAGCACCCACCAGCCAGCTTGGAGAGGCAGCCAAGTCCAGAGGTGCGGCCCCGCCGCTGGTAG